CATACCACCAAACCAAACTGAAATAAACACAAAAAAGAAAAACACTGAAAAGAAAGAAACAAAAAATGAATAAAAGGAAAACGAAAGCACAGGAGGCATAATTTTAGAGCGAAGAGCCCAACGAGGGGAGAAGTGAGGAGAGGGAGGGGAGGGGAGGGGAGGGGAGGGGAGGAGAGGGAGGAGAGGAGAGGAGAGGAAGAGGAGAGGAGAGGAGAGAAGAGGAGTGAGAGGAGAGGAGAGGAGAGGAGAGGAAGAGAGGAGAGGAGAGAGAGGAGAGGAGAGGGAGAGGGGAGGAGAGGGGAGGAGAGGAGGAGAAGAGGAGAGGGAGGGGAGGGGAAGAGAAGTGAGGAGAGGGGAGGGAGGAGGAGAGAGAGCGAGGGGAGAAGAGGAGGAGAGAGGAGAGGGGAGCGCGAGGGGAGGAGCACCGGATTCCCATCCTATGATTCACCATAAGGCCGGCGATGAAGAAAAGGAACTCGGAGAGAGGGAGGAGAGAGAGAGAGAGAGAGAGAGAGAGAGAGAGAGAGAGAGAGAGAGAGAGAGAGAGAGAGAGAGAGAGAGAGAGAGAGAGAGAGAGAGAGAAGAGAGAAAGAGAGAAGAGAAGAGAGGAGAGATAGGAAATTTAGATAGATACATAGATATATAAATAGAGAGATAGATATATGGATAGAGAGAGAGAGAGTGGAAACATAAGCTAAAGATGAGGGGAAAAAGCAGAGACAAAAAAAAAGGAAAACAGGAGAGAAATGTGGGGTAAGGGGGGGGAGGGGGAAGAGGGGATGTTATGTATTCAAAATCAGCGAAAGAAAACAGTTGAAGAAGGAAGCGGAGTGGGAGGAGGAGGAGGAGGAGGAGGAGGAGGGAGGAGGGAGGAGGAGGAGGAGGAGGAGGAGGAGGAGGAGGAGGAGGAGAGGGAAGAGAAGAGAAGGAGGAGGAGGAGGAGGACGGGAGAAGAAGGAGGAGAGGGGGACGGGGAAGAATGAAAAGGATGAGAGGAAGATAAAAGAAGGAGAAATGAAGAAAAAAACATAAAAAAAAAATATATACATCACGTATATAAAAAAGTCAAAAAGAAAGAGAAAGACACACCGAAAAAGAAGCCAGAGAGCCAACGTGCTCAACAGTGTGAAAGACAACAGCTCCAGGAAGCTCAGTTCTCCCCCTCCTCCTCCTTCCTTCCCCCACCCCAACCCCCTCCCCTTCCTCCAAACCCACCTCCCATCCCCCAAACCCTCCCCTTCCATCCCACTCCACATCGTCCTCCACAACCATCCTCCTTCCCCCCCCCCACCTCCCCAAACCCTTTCCACCCCCTCCTCCTCACCCCCACCCACCCCCTCCACTACTATTCTGTGCCATGACACCAAACTAGCAAAGAAAGGGGGCGAGAAGGGGGGGAGGGGGGGAGGGGGAAGGAGTCACATTCACGTGGCTAGTGTTACTGTCACACTGCCAATTTCCTGGGCGTTTGGGGGGGGAGGGGGGTTTTGTTACAAATAAGAGGAGGGAGGGCAGGGATAGGGGGAGGGTGGTATGTAATCTTACTGTGTAGGCGGTGTTGTGTGCATGTGCATATGTTGTATGTGTGTGTGTGTGTGTGTGTGTGTGTGTGTGTGTGTGTGTGTGTGTGTGTGTGTGTGTGTGTGTGTGTGTGTGTGTGTGTGTGTGTGTGTGTGATGTGTGTGTGTGTGTGTGTGCGCGTGGGCGCACGCTCAAGCGTGCTGAGAGAGGAGGAAATAGAGAAGAGAGAGAGAGAGAGAGAGAGAGAGAGAGAGAGAGGAGAAGAGAAGAGAGAGAGAGAGAGGAGGGAGATCGAGAGAGAGGAGAGAGACAGGACAGAGAAAGAGAGAGAGAAAAATCAGAGAGAGAGGATCAGAGAGAAGAGAGAGAGAAGAAAGACCGAAAGAATAAGAAACAAGCACCCGAGAGAGACATCAGGCGCATGAGAGAGAACACGCGTCCGTCCATCCGGGACATTCTGTGTGCATGACAACTCTTCACTTGACTGCCATGCACTTGCTCTTTCACAAACGAGCAAGTAGTGCCTAAGTAGTGCCAGTGCCAAGTGTCTTAACGTGCGCTCGGCGACTGCTGCGTTGCTGCTTGTGCTTGTGCGGGTATTCTCTAAGGGGGGGAGGAGGGTGTGAGAGATGGGGGGAGACAATGGAGAAAGGGGAGGGGGAGGGACAAGGGGGAGGAGGAAGGGAGGGGTGATGGAAGAAGGATGAGGGAAGGAGAGGTAGGAGGAGGATAAGGTGAGAGAAGGGGAAGGTGGATGAGGGAAGAAGAGGGGTAAGGAAGGATAAGGAGTGAGAGGCAGGAGAGGAGGAGGAGGAGAGAAGAGAGAAGGGGGACGAGGAGAGGGGAGGGAGGTGGAATGAGGGGAGAGGGGGGGAAGGGAGGAAGAGGGGAGACGGTGAAGCCAAAGAGAGAAAAGAAGGAAAGGATAAGGGTTTGAAAGCAGCGTGGAATCTAGGACGAAGGCAAACAAACAGGATTATAAACAGTCAAGAAGGAGGATGAACGATCCCATCAGAAACGGCTTTTATGGAGATGAAGATGAAGATGATGATGATGATGATGATATGATGATGATGATGATAATGAGACTATGATGATGAAGACGATTGGTGATGACGATGACGATGATGACGTATGATGATGAAGATTCATGAGTTAAATCGATGATGGGTGGCAATGATTGAGTATGATAATGATGATGGTGGTGGAGTGGTAATATTGATTTCTGATAATGATAAGACACGACGACGAAATACGACTATCATAACCAACCAAAAAGAGACATACAACCACCATACAAAAAATAATCCCCACAACACACCTCAGCCAACAAAGCCAACCAACCAACCCTAAACAACAAACAACTCACAAGCAACCCGAAAACAAACCCCCATTCCACCAACAATTTCCCAAACAAAAGGGGCATTCACAAAGAGCAAAAAGGGGAAAGGGAGAGAGGTGAGAGGGAGGAGGAAGGAGGGAGGGAGGGAGAGAGAGAGAAGAGAGAGAGACGAGACAGACGAGAGCTGCGAGAGGAGAAGAGAGAGAGGAGAGAGACAACAGAGAGAGAGGGAGAGAGGAGAAGAGANATACGCCAAGTACTTAAGACCCCCCCCTGCCCCCCGCCCACGCCCACACACATTCAAATTAAAACAAAAAACAAATAAATATATCCAGAATTATCTCTTCATCTATGTCTTTATTCATTCAATTCTTCCTTCTCTTTTGGTTATATTCGAATCAGTATTTTTTTTTTGATAATGTTTTCCGGCACCGAGGAAAAGCACTTTCATCATAAAAACTTTTTTTCTCGTTAATGACAAAACAATAATTAAAATTGAGGCTTTATGTGGATGCCTAGGAGGAGGAGGAGGAGGAGGAGGAGGAAGGAAGAAGGAGGAGGAGGAGAGGAGGAGGAGGAGGGGGAGAGAGGAGGAGGGGAGGAGGGAGAGGGAGGGAGGGGAAGGGAGGAGGAAGAGGAGGAGGAGGAGGTGGGGAGGGAGGAGAGGAGGAGGGGGAGGAGGAAGGAGGAGGAGGAGGAGGAGGGGAGAGGGAGGAAGAAGGGAGGAAGGACAGGAGGAAGGGGAAGGAGGAGAGAGGAGGAGGAGGAGAAGGAGGAAGGAGGAGGAGGAGAGGTAGGGGGAGGAAGAGGAGGAGGGGAGAGGAGAGAGAGGAGAGGAGAGGAGGAGGAGGGAGGAGGGGGAGGAGGAGGAGAGAGGAGGAGGAGGAAGGAGAGAAGAGGAGGAGGAAGGAGGAAAGGAAAAGAGGAGGAGAAGGAGAAGAGAGGGAGAGGATGAAAAGGAGGAGAGGAATAGGGGAAGAGAATGAGGAGGATGAATGGAAAAGGAGGAGGAGGGGGAAGGAGGGAAGAGGAGGATGGGGGAGGAGGAGGAGGAAGGAGGAGAAGAGGAGAAGTAAGAGGAGGAAAGAGGAGGAGGAAGAGGAAGGAAGAGGAGGAGGAGAGGAGGAGGAGGAAGGGGAGGAGGGGAGGAGGGGAGGAGGGGGACGAGAAAAGGAGAGGAGGAAGAGGAGGAAGGGAGGAGGAGAGGAGGAGGAGGAGGAGGAAGGAGGAGGAGGAGGGGGGAGGAGAGGAGGAGGAGGGGAGGAAGGAGGAGGAAGGAGAATGGGAGGAGGAGGAGGAGGAGGAGGAGGAGAAGGAGGAGGAGAGGAGGAGGAGAGGAGGAGGAGGAGGAGGAGGAGGAAGAGGAGGAGGAGAGAAGGAGGAGGAGGAAGAGGAGGAGAGAGGAGGATGGAGAAGGAAAGAGAGGAGATGAAGGAGGAGGATGATAATGTGAAGAAAAGCGAGAGGATGATGAAAAGGAGGAGGAGGGAGGAGGAAGAGGAGAGGAGGAGGAGAGGGAGGGAGGAGGAGGAGGAGGAGGAGGAGGAGGAGGAGGAGGAGAGAGGAGAGAGGGAGTAGAGGGCGAAGAGGAGGAGGAAGAGGAGGAGGATAGGGAGGAAGAGAAAGAGGAGGGGATGATGAGAGGAAGGAGGAGGAGGGGAGGAGGGGAGGAGGAGGAAGGAGGCAGGAGGAGGAGGAGGAAGGAGGAGAAGGAGGAGGAGGAGGAGGAGGAAAGGAGGAGAGGAGAAGGAGGAGAAAGAGGAGGAGGAGGAGGAGGAGAAAGGAAGAGGGGAGAAAGAGAGGAGGAAAGGAGGAGGAGGAGGAGGAGGAGGAGGAGGGGAGAGGGGAGGAGGCAGAGGAGAGAGGAGAGAGGAGGAGAGGAGGAGGAGGAGGAGGGAGGAGAGGAAGAGAGGGGAGGAGGGGAAGAGAGGAGGAAGAGAAGGAGGAGGAGGAAAGAGGAGGAGGAAGAGGAGGAGGAAAAGGAGGAGGGAAGGAGGAGGAGGAGAGGAGGAGGAGGAGGAGGAGGGAGGAAGAGGGAGAAGAGAGGAGGAGAGGAGAGAGAGGAGGAAAGAGAGGAGGAGAGAAGAGGAAAAAAGGAGGAAGAGGAGGAAGGAGGAGGAGGAGGAGGAGGAGGAGGAGGAAGGAGGAAGAGGAGGAAGGAGGAGAGAGGAGGAAGAGGAGGAGAGGGAGAGAAGAGGAGGAGGGAGAAGAGAGGAGGAGGGAGAGGGAAGGAGGAAGGAGAGAGGAGGAGGAGGAGAGGAGAAGGAGAAGAGAGGAATAGGAGGAAGAGAAAGAGGAGGAGGAGGAGGAGAAGGAGGAATAGGTGGGAGAGAAAGAGGAGGAGGATTAAAGAGGAAGGAGGGAGGAAGGAGGTGGAAGAGGGAGGAAGGAAGAAGAGAGGAGGATGGAAGAGGAAGGAGGAAGAAGGAGAGGAAGGAGAGAAAGAGAGGAGGGAAGAAAGGAGGAGGAGGAGAGAGGAGGAGGAGAGGAAGAGGAGGAGGGGAGGAAAAGAGGAAGAGGAGGAGGAGGGAGCTGGAAAGAGGATGACCGAAGAAGAGAGAAAGAGAAGAAGAGGAGAGACGAAGAAAAAGGAAAAAGAGAAGGAGAAAGAGAAAGAGAAAGAGAAAGAAAGAAAAGAGAAGGGAGGAGGAGGAGGGAGGAGAAAGAGAGAGAGGAGGAGGGGGAGGAGAAGAGGAGAGAGGAGAACGAGAATGTAAAGTATTAATGTTTTGTAATTTCCTGCCAGTCCTGAGGGATGCGTGACCAACGGTGTGCAACAGGGAAGTGAGGAAAAAAGAGATAGATAGATAGATAGGAAGACGATAGATAGATGATTAATGGATAGACAGATAGGTGGATGGATAGATAGACCAACTGTGTGCAACAGGGAAGTGAGGAAAAAAGAGATAGATAGATAGAAAGGAAGATGATAGATAGATGATTAATGGATAGACAGATAGGTGGATGGATAGATAGACCAACGGTGTGCAACAGGGAAGTGAGGAAAAAAGAGATAGATAGATAGATAGGAAGATGATAGGCAGATGATTAATAGATAGACAGATAGGTGGATGGATAGATAGATTGGTATGTAATAGATAGATGATAGATGGACAGATAGATTGGTAGATAATAGATAGATGATAGATGGACAGATAGATTGGTAGATAATAGATAGATGATAGATGGACAGATAGATTGGTAGATAATAGATAGAGGGATGTAGATGGAGGTATGGATAGATAGATTGAAAGATAGACAGAGGAATAGATAGATAAATAGATAGATAATAGATAGATACGTATATACATAGACATATAGATAGATAATAGATAGATACGTATATACATAGACATATAGATAGCTAGGTAGACAGACAGGTAGATAGAAAGAGAGACAGATAGATGGATAGTACTAACTATTTTCTCATCAATTAATCCTTTAAAATGATAACAATAGTATGACAATAAATAGCATGTTACGTACTACTTATTGTATTTTTATATCCAACAGTTTGCGAAGGAAAATACAATAGGAAAATACAATAGCAATTTATAAGGAGCAGAGAGAGCAAGGATATTATTATTATCTATTATACTATTATTAGATTATTATATATTATTATACTATTATATATTATTATTATACTAATTGGAATTCGAGGAAATCAGAAGCCTAATCATTATCATCATTTTTATTATTAATTTCATATTCTCATAACTGTTATCGGTATAATGTTTATTATCATTATTATCTTTTCTATATGTTTTATTGTCGTTTAGATTTATTGTTGTCTTAATTATTAATGTCATCAACATTATCTCTGTTATCATTGATATCATTATCCTCAATTATGTTATTATTACTATCTTTACTACTGCTGCTGAAAAGGGTAATGATGAAATATTGTGATAATGACAATAATAATGATATGATGATAATAATCATGATGATAATGGTCGTAATAATAATGATAAATATAACTGGGAGTGACAATTACAATAATAATGATTATGATAATGATGATAATGTTAATAACAACAGCAAAATTGACAGTAGTAATAATAATCACAATGATGACGGTGATTATAACAATAATCATGATGATGATAAAGGTAATAATAACAATGATAATGATGATAATAACAATGATAGAGAT